CCCGACAAACGGAGGCACTATCAGATTTGGGCGTTAACCAAACAACCGACACGAGCTACTATCACATAAAAGAGAAGTTGATGGAAAAGCACTCCTCAAGTGACCCCCGACTCAAGGGACAGTGGAGATATCCACCCAGACTTTTGGTGTCGGGAAAGGCCACAAAACGTACTTGTTTCGCACCAAACACCAAAAAATGTCTGAAACAACAACTACGAAATTCTCTAGTCCCTTCTTTGAGGTGTTCGTACTATTTTCGTATGTAGCTTCCTTCAAGAGGTGTCATTCCCCTCCTTTGATCCTCCCTTCTTAAAAAGTAGTACTCATTAAATGAATGACAAATCGTTTTAGTGCGGTGAAGAGGAGAGAAGGAGGTGCTGATGGCATTCCACAATGTCTTCAAAATTAGTGAACCACTGCACTGCAGGAGATGAGTGTGAGCACACCAGTGACTGAGAATTTGTGCCAAATCAACTATGACTGCACAATTTCGTGTGTTTTACATACCCCTCACCAAAAAAAATTGCCACGAGCGTCTACAAACTCGAAAGCTGCATGCCTGACGGTGCGTACTTTAGCGGTAAAATAAGTGAGGCCTGTCATTCAAGGCGGTTGATTGGTAGGGTGGATTTAACAATGCGAAATTCACCACCCAAATCAGTGGTGGTGAACAATGCGAGGGGTTCAAGGGGTGGGCTGGTCACTACCGCCAGACGAGGAACAAAATAATCATAGCTGAATCCTATTTACCAGGAGGAAGTATAGAAATGGTTTTGGAATCAAAATTTGCCTCTCTGGATGCTCCACCTCACAAACCTATTGAAAAGGCACGCGTTACGATTATTACATTCCCTTCAAGGTGTTTCGAACTTTCGGTGATAGGAAGGTGGATTTACACACCTCCTTGATGTCAGCCTTAACTTACTTTGATGTTTGCTGTTACGTTGATGAAGACCCTGAGAGAGACCAATCTTTCACCAAGCTGGTGGCGGTCCCACCGAACTGAATTGCCTACTTCGTTAGCTCGCTTTCACGGCCTTCAAGAGTTGCCCTTGGAGTTGACTGATGTGCTGTTTGACTAGGCACATCGGAGGGTAATGCCACGAATTTCAGTGCATCAACGTTCATCTCCCTTCTTTTTGAATGACGTCTAACAATGGCTTGCTCGCCCACATTCAAATGCACATGATGTCGTGGTACTACCGATCACCTTGGAACTGAGACACACCGAAACGACGGTCAGGAAACATAAAAATTGAGGAGACAGCTACATAATGGAGTTAAACTTCTATTTGCCACCTTTCTGATGGTAAAAGGTGACTTATTGCTCCCTTGACTGGGCCTGAAGGCACAGCGGTTGAGCTCCTAAGAGGCTCATCGGCAAAACTGTGTGTTAAGCAAAACAGTTTGGCTGTTTAGATTTTTTTTATTAATAGTAGTTGTTTCCATCAAAATAGGGCAGAAGACTTGCATCATTCCAAGCACATTGCAAAATTATTTTTGTTTGTCTTTAAAACAAGCAATTCTTTATATTGTGAATAGAATTTCAACGAATCCGAATTTAAAGTAGTAGATCTGAACATTTGATCAAGTGTACTCTTACGGATGGTTGACAAACCTGCGTTACACCCACTATCAATTAGTCCGAAGGGTCGGTCCTGTGGATGACACATGAGTTTGGTGCATTCGTGGCTTTGGCAGACGTTTACAGTGACTCCGATGATAGCCATCGGTTCTCCTGGAAGACTCGCTCTTGTCCTCACTCAGTGGACACCGCGTATCCTCTGGTGGAGAGGTGATAGATCAGAACGCCTTCACCAGCTATCTAATGCATCCCTAAGGGGTGAAATAAAACCATCCATGCATTCCGAAAGACCGGCTTCCAGGTTGCCTGTAGGTCACTTTTAGCTGATTAGTGGAACCGATGGCGCAGCTTTTAATTTATCGTGAACGACTCCCAGCATGGCTGGTGAGGGCTTAAACCAAAATTTTCCATTATTCGTTTTTCAAAAGGTCGTCCTCTACCCTCGGAGGCTTTACATTTGAATTGGTTGTCACTAGCACGACCTTATCGGAGCACCCAGATCTGGGAAAGTTATTTCTGCGCCTAATCCTTGAGAGTAAATCAACGTGAAGGCCCTTCACGGTCTTTGACGGCGTCCACCTCCTCACTGACCACTTTGAACAATCATTTTAACACCCGTCAGACTCGGAGAGTGCACCTAAAGCTGTAAAGTAGGTCAACTTCACGAATTTCACGACTTTCCACGAGGTCGGTTAAGGCAAAAAATTTTGCAAAACCACGACTTTTCTGCCTTAATGTGATGGAATGATTAAATTAGGCACAATGAATTGATGGTCTGTAGAAGTCAAAACAATTCTCTCCAGCCTTAAGCACAGGAGGAATGAAAATAAATTTTGGCTGGCTTATTTACAGCCATGGGGCACGAGTTTCACACCTGCAGCATACATCGACAGAGCTTGGACTGAAACGACGACAGCTGAGAATTCAGTAGGCGGAATCCTTTTACTCCAGCTTTTAACAAACACCAAGGACGTGCAAAGTTGAACGCCTCTACAAAGGGCTTTACCAAATTGAAGTACTTCATGTCTATTTCTGATCCCTTCTTCATTTTCCTCTTACCGCTTCACATATCAGTAGTGAAGTTGCCTTTGGACTCAAATTTCTCCTGCCACTGACATTCAAAATAACACCTGAGGGACGAAATTTCGAAGTTGAGGAGGAGACTTACAGTTCAGAGCCTGTGGCACCATCAAACGAAGCCATATTTACAATCATGATTCACAAAATAAACGCGCTTTAGTCATGTCCGTAACTAGGGTGAGTGTTCGCTGAAACCTACAGGAGCGCCAAATCATAAGCCATACAGTTTATTATCTGTTCTACTAAATACTTAACAGACGGCTAGCAGTTTTACATTCTCAACGTTGTCAGCATCGAAGAGGGATTAATAGTGCACATCTTGGCACTCTTGTAGAGTTAATAATAAATCTGTGCGACATGGGTGATCAGCCAATGGAAAATCATCGAGCAATTTTTCCGCCTTTTATAAAAGGCGATGCAGTTCATCACAGCTTTACTGCCTTGGACCGTGCTAAGGTCACAGTATCCGTAAGTCTTACCCGTTAACCGGCAAATAAAACCGTCATGTCATTCTGATGTCAAAAGTTTCTTGTTTTAAATCCATTTAGCTAGTTCCAGTAAAGCCATGGGTCTGGAAGTGTCGCTGATGGCCACCGTGGAGGCAATAGTGGATTGGGTGGTACAAGTGGAAAATGGTGGCCTTCTGAACGTGTTATTTGAGGATATATCGTCAACTTCAAAAGAACCCCAATTTACTCTTTCTCAAAATATCCACACCAGTATCTTGAATTTTTTACAAAATATGCTCGCCTACAAGCCTCTGGCGCTCCCAGTTCTCCAAGCTATGCCTGGTTCCCTTGGTGGAGGGGTGGCGGGAGTTGATGAGGCTAATGCTAATCCCAATCGTGAACCAGAGATATTTTGGATTACTATGGGTCTGCTAGGAGCCATTTTGATCCTCATCATTGTCTTGCAGATCATCAATTGCTGCTGCTGTTGTTGTGGCCATAAAGCCGTAGGTTGTGCCTGCGATTAGACTGATGTTACCTTTACCGAAGTGAACGTTATGTTTAAATTACTTAAACAAGATATCTTAACTGCTGTTGGCCCATTTAATCATTAGTATTTCCATTGAACATGTTGAGTTTCACTAAAGAGCATGACTGCTTGCATGTATCACTACTCCTTTTCCTATGCAAGAAAATAGGAATATTGGGAATGCTCCCTGCTACCGAAATGCTCAACGCATTTGATTAGTACTAATAAAACACGCACTACTTTTATAAATTAGTAGCACATTTTTCGCAAAATATTTTTTAATTTCAGCGTCACTTGAATCGTGTGCAAGTCGCGGCAGTTGACAAAGATTTGAAGCACAAGAACTTGGTGTGCCGTGTCACCTACATTACTTTGTTAGCGATCGCGTTTCTCTTCGTGGCAGCATCAGTAATCCTCCTTGCAATTTACTTTAGCAGTGCCAATTTGGTCGTCGCCCATCTTGAAATACATGAACAGACATCGTCCACACCAAATTTCATTTCCCTACCTGATGGACTGCAAGCTGCAGTGAAACATCTGTCAACCTTTATCAAACAAGGAATCGAATCAGGTCAACAGCTCACCGAATGGTCATTCAACTCTTTTGCAACGCAGACGGATGTAAGCTACCGTTTCCGGGAGGTCATGACTATGTATAGAATAGCATTAGCAAAAATGTTCCACATTTTACCAACCAGCACGCATTATGCAATTCTTTGCTTTGTCATTAAGCGTAAGCCAGCAGCAACAAATAATCCACTTTTTGGTTTTGTGAATTTCTAGTCAGTGCTTGAGATGCCAGAGGTTTTTGTTCCTGCTGACCACTCTTGGATAAAAAACTGCCGGTACCAAAAGTAGCCACAATACGAACGCTCTATCAAAATTAATCATTTGGTCTCTTAGGGTGAAATATCAGCCAATCTCCGTAGAGTTACAACAAAACTACAGGATCACCTGCAGCTGCCAGATGTGACCGAGAAAGGCCAATCGAATTTGGGCGGCATCAAAAATTGCAGCGTCAACTCCAAATCTGCAGGCTTCTTGATGGACAAGTTGAAACCAAGCATCAGTGCACTGAACGACCAAATCGCACACACTCAAGAGCTGTATAAAGTGGAATTTAATAAAATTACAAACTGCGACCAAAAATGTGAAAGTTTGAAGGTGAGAGTTTGCAAATCCCAATGCAACTTTGGTAATGTTTTTGATCGAATGCAAAGTTTCAGTTAGAACCTTGCATTTGAAGGAGGGCGAAGTAGAGCAGTTAAAGATTCGATTAAGCCTGAGAGTCATGGCAGTTAAAAAAAAGGACAGGTGGACACATGAACACATTTTAATGCGTTGACAATGCCTTTAACCTTCTTTCAGACAAGAGTGGATAAGCTGCGAAGCCCGATTGACCCAAACAAGTTGGACAGTGGCCTTGTGAATGAATTGGCCTCCAAGTTAGACGGTATTCATGAGGATTTTGAAGCACTGCAAACCAAGCTTCAAACCACAATCGACAGCATCCAGGGCTCGGCGGATGAAATCATGCTTTCATTAAAAAAAGAATTACAATTACAGGAAATTTTAGGCACAGTTGACGAATTTTGGCCGCAGGCCGAAACGCAATCACAAAAATTGTTGGAGGAAGTGGATAAAGCTACTACAACTTTGACAACAAGAATTCCACAAGGCGCAAAATTTGTGCGCATTGTTCTCTATTCCATTGGTGGATTTTTGGTATTTATGGTGCTCATCGCGGTTCTTATTTTCGCTCGTCTTCTCTACAGAGGTATCACAAGTCAGCTCTACGGTGATCCCGATGACATTCCAGCTGGTAAGTTGTACAAAAATGCCACAGTTTCACATATATCATTATTATTCCTGTTAGTGGAAACATATACTACTTAAATAAATTAGCGCATGACACAGTACTGTGGAGGCATATGGAGGGAAGAGATGAAGGTGCTCAATTCCATAGTTCAACCAGTATCGGCAGCAGTTCGGATCACAGAAAGCATAGATAATACAGCAAAGGAATATATGCGTCTCAGTCCCCAGCCATAATGCCAAAGAATGGAATTAAATAGTCACATTTTTAGACCTTCTCTTGCACAGCAACGAAGATTTTAGCCCTCCTGTACCGAATCGAGGGCAAGACTACCTCGGTGCGTAGTAAAATAGATGCGCATTATGAATGTTTTTTCTATCTTTGGCGCAGTTTATCACTTTTATCAATTGCAGCGTAAACACCGGCATTAGCGACAGAATACGGACAGAAGCATCAACGTCGCGTCCCTTTAAGGCCTTCCACAACAGAAAAAAATGCCCCTTTTTAAAGTGAATGCCTCCCTCGGCTGTCATAAATTCAATCGGTTGATTCATGAACTCTAAATGTTTCCACCTTTTTAAGGCTCCAATCTCAATGCGTGGGACAGACTTGCCTGTGGCAAATGTTCTGCTTGTTGCTGTTCAGTGTTCTTTGTTTTCATTCTACTCATCTTCGCCATCGTTGTTGGCGTTCTGCTCTTCGTCCTCACCACAATATCCGGTTAGCTGTTGTCGGCCTTCACATATATATTTAATCCCAAATTTGTGTTGATTTAAACCAAAAAATCAAAAGGCTCAGCCCAAGTGACGTATTTGGTTGATATAACTTTTTTTTGTCTTAAAGGTGAGGGATGCATATACTTGGCCCAGGAGAGCGCTGTTGCCAAAACCGACTTTGTTGTGAATAGCCTTGTGGCTGAGCAATGGGACTCAATCATGAGTGGTGTTGCTACAGGTGAGGAGAATTTTTTGAACACCTCCCCACCACAAAACATGCTCACTGCCCTGATTAGGACCTGTGATTACGTCGACACCCAACAGGTCGTTGGTCTTCTCTCTGCCATGAACTACCAAAATTTGGTCGATGTGCACAAACTTGTTACCAGTCCAAAGGTGCAAGATGGAATTAACAATGGAAAAGTGTGCGTTTCAGTCCTTATTTAATTTGGATTACCAAGTTGCACTGAAGTGAGTGGGAGTAAGTTGCATGCCTTTGGAAGGCCTAAAAAAAATTGTCAGTGTCACATGATGTTAGCTAAAGTGAAGGAGGCTAATGGAATGTTTGTGAGCCAAGTCGCCCGCCAATAAAACCGTCTTGGAGTTCTCAAGCCCCACCTAACAGTTAAACCAACACTTCTAAACCCTCATTTGTAAAGGCCTCCGCACCGCTCACTGCGAAGCACTCGGTGTAATGTCGAAATGCAGAGCTACCGAGAAGGTGATCGTTTATTGCATCAATAATGTGGAGATTTCGTCATGCAGGAGAAGTGCTTTGGAGACTGCGAGAAAACGCTGACTATCGGCATGTTAGCGAGGCCACTATGGGGCTAACAGTCCTAACTAGTCTTCACCGCGTGTTCACGCTTCCACTACGGCATTTACCGAAGGCGGAGGTCACCTTGACACCTTCTGCTAGAGTTCGCCAGAAAATCCGACATTCACAACTTAGTTCTCCTATAAAGTCGAGTAAGGAATGTTTCGTAGGGACCCCTTGAGGACTAAATGGAGAGAACACACATGTCTTTGACGTCCGTAGGGCTCAGAACAACTAAAATGCCTTGCAAGGTGCAATAGCGGCGAAAAAAAGAGAAATGTTAGGAAAGCCTCAAAAACGACTCTCCTAAGACTGGTCGCAGGAGAGTTCCCCTTGCCTTCAAGCTTGACTCAGACGTTCTGTTTAACTTTTTGAGTGTGCTGTCACATCAAACATCACCTATCAGTTAGCCTTACAATGAGCCTTAGGAACCCTGCCTTTAGTACCAAAGTAGAGTGAAGTGTTTGCTGATTGTTAATGAAAAATGGATCCATTATGCAGTTGGCTGATGAACGCTAAATTACTTCAATTTCAGCATCGCTGTTAAAGCGATTAAAGACCTCGAAATCTCCACCAAACTACCTCCTGAGGCTGACTTTGAAGCCATCAGAAAAAAGCTGGATGAGGCACTTAAAAACATTGATCTGGACGTAAGCAATCATTCATATTTTTTTAAACCAAAACTTAAGTCAACCAGATCCTTCAAAAGTTGCTTGAATTTAGATGGACCGCAGTCAGCCTGCCACTTTAAGCCCTACAGCCCTGACAAATTGTTTGGCACACTTCATTAGACCTTCCAACTCTTCTTGAAATGGTAAAGCTTTAAACTTTTGCTCTGCAGGAACTGTTAACTGCAACAAAACCGGAAGTAATGGATATCGCACCTCTCAACAAACTTCATAATGACCTGGAAGACTATGGAGGTTCGGCTCAGTCTCCAGGAGATGCCGGCTTCACTAAACCAAATGAAGAACTGAAGAAGGTGATCAGCTCTATGTCGGAGCTCGCACTCAGTGTAAAGGACCTCCATTTAGCAATAGAAGTTGTAAACGAGGAGAAGAACAACCTTTTATCACCATTCGGCGAATTGATAGAAGCACTAAAAACAACAGTTAATGTAAGTTTAAGCAAAAAGACAATTACGTTTACTCGTCCTATAGTTAGCCGGGAATGAGGAAGGAGTAGCCGCGGAGGTGACGTCTCAGTACGACGTTCTCATCAAGACGGTGATGGGTTTCATGGAACGCAAAGGCAATCTCCTGTTTGCCCAGGTGACTCAAGAACTGCTGCCATGTCTTGAGGCGCACAAGGCCTACATGTCGATGACGGGGGCCACTTGTGGCAACGTCAACCTGCTCCTCGGTTTCGTCTATGTCCTCGCCCTCAATGTGTTCTTTCTGGTCTTCCTTTACTTCGCTCTCTTCAATCTTGCATTCTTCCAAGGGATTTTGCTTCGCATGGCGGGTGAAGAAGAAGAAGAGGAGGAGGAGGAGGAAAACAGCAGCAGTGATGATGATTACAGCGATGACGAGAGTGAGGAGTCCCAAGAGTCGTCCAGCACAAGTAGTGTCACCTCAACAAGTGACACTATCACTAGCACTGTGGATGACGATAGTGTAGTCGCGTTTGCTTGAAGACCAACTGTATCACAAACCTGGAAAAATGATACTGATGTTTCCTTGCTTTTACGATCATTTTTAGGGAGGAAAGAAAGTAAATTTAATGATACCTCAATTTAGTGAAGACGCACTGCCTTGGAGCCAACACCTCGGGTAAAACAACACGGTCACAAAACTACATGCCTTGCCAAAACATTACCTTCTGCGTTCTTAAAGGCGAAGCATGAAGCAAGAGGTGGAATCACACAGTAGTAAAATGGCAGAAATGTCGACGTACTCACATTAATGAGGAAGTCAAAATTCACAGGCACAGTTGGCAGTGCCTGTGAACAATTTTACTGGATTCGGAGGGCGAACTCAACGATGTCCAACTTCCATGACCACCAAAGCAGATCTGAAGGGATGGATAAATGTTGAACTTGTTTGAATGGATGTTGGAGTTGGTAGATATGAGCCGTTAAGACGTTTAGTTCTACCTAGGCCTTAAAAATCAACGTTGTTTCTCCTCAAAATCAAGTGTGTTTTACAGTTCAAAGTGGTTTGTTGGCTAAGAGTTGGTCGAATGGATCGCCACCTCAGTTCGGTGGTCGCGTTACTCTGCGACAGGCTCGATGGCATCACCTGAAAATGCTGAGTAAATAAAGTTCATCACGGAAGGGAAGTGAAACACTTTCACCACACCTTACCACCCTCATTCTGTCCTTCAGGCCAAAATGAATTCGGCGTCTGTGACACGATGGAACGACTGCTAGTGGTTGTCAGTCAATCGTAACCTTCTCAGTTATCGGTACTGGCGATTGGCTCTTGCTTAAAGGGTCATTGGCGGGGCGCATGACAAGACGGAAGAAGATAACAGATTTAACATTTTCCTCCTATCTGTCCTTTTTTCATGGGATGAGAGAATTGTGTTTGAATTTAGTGGAAGTTACTATTTCACCTTTTCCTACCGCCGGCGAGTTCCACGTCCTCTTCGATCACGCCTTGACGCGCACTTCATG